ATTAGGTCTCTCTATGAAAGCCATTACTACAGCAAGCCATTTTTTGCTAGTGGTTACAAAATGCAAGTTTGTGTTAAAGCCAGCATTGATGGCTACATTAGCATTAATGTGCAGTTACTGAAAGGCCCTAATGACAGTCAATTGATGTGGCCTTTTTGTGGTGATGTGGTAGTGGAACTCCTCAACTGGCTAGAAGATAAGAACCATCAGAGGTTTGTGATAGAGGTAGCACCTCTGGCTAATAGTTCTGGTTTTGCACATGACAGAAATGAGGGTTTTGGACAAGCTCAATTCATTCATATCTCGAATATTTATGACTATTTTTTCAATAATGATTGTTTCTACTTTAGGATAAGAGAAGTAATTGTGTATTCAACTAATCTTTGTTCAAAATGTCCTGGATGGCAAAGTACAAACTCATTGTCACCCTTTGGAGAATTCACTATGACTAATGTTTTGAAACGGATGGAATTCAATAGAACATTCTACAGCCCTGAATTTTTTACACATCTTAATGGATATAAGCTACGCCTGGAAATTCAGAAGTCATTACAACCACAGAGCATTGGTCTATATGCTCGAGTAATGTGGGGGAACAATGATAATAACCTTGTGTGGCCTTTGCAAGCTAGCATAGTTGTAGAACTACTCAATTGGAGGCAAAATGCTTCACATTATTCATGCACACTTTCCTTTAATGAGCTTACACCTTTTGAGTCAAAGTCTCAAGTTACTAAAGGAGAATGTGCTCTTTCTAGTTGTGGTACTGATGCTTTTATATCGTATGCTTCTCTTGGATACAATAGCACCACAGATACAGAATATCTGCAAGATGACTGCCTGAGATTTTGTATAAAGGAAGTGATTGTTTATTCAAGTCCTTTGAGCTTTCGAAAACCGCTTTGGGAGAGTTGGTTAGCATCAAATTTTATTGAGCACACCATCACTCGTTTTTCTGAGAGGATTCGACTTCAAAACGTATTTTGGAGCCCTTCATTTTATTCATCTGCTCGAGGTTATAAAATGTGTCTCAAAGTCTATCCTGCTGGCATTGGCCTTGGTGAAAATTCTCATGTTTCTATTCATTGTGTTCTGATGAAAGGAGAGTATGACAATGAATTGAAGTGGCCCTTCACAGCAGATGTGGTCGTGGATATACTTAACTGGATGCATGACTCTCATCACCATAGAGTAGTTTTAAAAGTCAATGAAGATAGTGTGCATAGTTCTCGTACAAGAGTTGACCAGGCCAATGAACTGGGACATGGTTGGGGTAATTCAAAGGCTATTGAATTTGGTTCCTTATTTCCTACAAGTAGTTCCCCCATGCAGTATCTTTTAGACGACTGCATGCGTATCAGAATACATGAAATTGTCATCTACAGTACACAGTTGCTGGAGAAGACTCCACATTGGAAAGGGTCAATGGTTAGGCTACCTCAATCTCTAGCAGAGTTTACTGTAACTGGAGTCACTCAACACTTGTTATACAACACTGAATACATCAGTCAACCGTTTTACACTGACTCAAATGGATTCAAATTAAGGCTAGAAGTTAATTTCAGTGGAGCCAATGATGGGATGAAATCCTATGTTTCTATTCATGTTCGATTGCT